TAAGAATCTTTTTAACTGCAACAGGAGTTCCATTTATCAACTCTCCTCTGTAAACAACTCCGTAACCACCTTCACCGATAACATTCTCCTTTGAGAATCTGTTAGTTGCTATTTCAAGATCTCTCAATGTAAACCAGTGTCCCCAACCAAGATGCGACTCAGGCAAACCAGACAATGGAGATGGCGTTGCAATGTTATACAATGATGATGAAGAAGGTTGATTTACGGAAACTTCTTCACCTGACTCGGAATGTTTATCTATGATCTCTAAATGATGAAATGAGCCTGACCGGCTGCAACTACTTCCACCCTTGTTCTTTCGCTTCTTGCCTATATCTAAATGAACCAAGACTTTGTCTGAATCTTTGTTGTTTTTGTCTTGAATTGTGAGAAGAATGCCTTCACGAGGAGCAAAGTTACTCGCTGAGACATGCTCAACTCTCACTTCTTTGATCTCCTTGGAGACTTGAGGGATTTGAGTAATCGGAAGACCGGTTTTCGATCTTCTTGATTTCTTTTTCGATGTAAGACAATACGAAAGAACAGAGAGTATGGCTATGATGAGCAATGCAACCGCTATTCCAATTACTTCCCAAACTTTGAGTCCAAATATATGACTCTCTCTAGATAGCTGGCTTTTCAGGTCATTACCCATTTTACCCCTAAAATTAACATTAACCAGAAAATCAGAAACAAGAAACAAGAAACAAGAGTGTTAGTTGATACGTGAAGACTCTTCAAGTTTTTTTTCTTTTTTTTCTTTTTTTGTGGTCCCATGTTTATCCACAGAGAAATTTACTCACAGAAAGACAAATATTTCCCAGAAATTCACAAAAAGGACAACAGAAGGAGCTAAAATCAAGGACATATAAAGAACAACAGCATTTATCAGAGCAAAAGTTAGTTGCTCCAATTCGACGATGCAAAAACACAACCAATAATATAATGATTGTCTTAAATATAAAAATCAGACAACACAGAGAAGAGCAAGTACGAAAGAAGATAAGAATTAAATGATTGATTAATTATTACCTCTTAAAGTTTCAGATCTTTGAAGACTATACACCCATTTATCAATCTTGACAAGAAAGTATTCCAGATCCTAGACAAAAGCAAAACCCAAATTTGATAGAAGTGAGGAAAACGGTGAAGTAGCAAAATCTCAGATTCAAGAATCAAGAAAATGAACAGCTCAGACAAAGAGACAAGACCTTTCTTTGGCCCCAATCGTAAGGCAAGTGTCAATGTAGAAGAAAGGACTGTGAGATCTAAGCTTGTCAAGAGCTGTCATGTAACCACAACAACTACATATGTAATAGTAAAAAACGAATTCAAATAAACACTCTGGCCCAGCAGATAACTGAACGTGGAAATGTCTAACAAAAGAAAGAGGTAAATTTTTCTTAACTTTGGAGTTTAATTTGAAGAAAAGGAGAAAACTTTGAAATGTGGGCAGTGAGATCTGGTGGAAGGTAATAAGAGAAGAAGAGGAAATGGAGGTTTCAAGTGGTAGGTAATGAAAAAATTAGTGATTATTTTTTTTGTTTGTTTAATTTTTGGTGGTGAGAGAGAGAAAGGAGAGATGTCTTGCCTTGCATTGCAATTTGCAATTACATTGCATAGAACATCATCTACATAAAGTACAGTCACAGCCTGTAAGTAATGAGAATTTAAGAGGGGTATAAGAGAAGCCATAGGAATGTGTAAGGTCCACATGTGAGGATGATGATTGATGAACGATGATGATGATGTTTTAGTGACCAGAAGTAACTGTCAAGTGTATTGCATTTACATGGTTAAAAAAGCACAATCATCAAAAAAGAAAGGATACTGAATGATCAGTAAACCGAAGCACTAAATTGGGAATCCTCTACATATTTATTGAGAAGCAAACTGAAAAATAACCTTTGTACACAATCACATCTCATGCCATTCAAATTATTATATTTGGTTTTTCTATTTCTATATTTATCGATAAATTAATAGAAACTAAGGCTAAACCGAGTTGTGACTATTACAAAGTTTTATTATTTGCATTTTAATTGTCATTTGAATTTTGTAAATATTTTGTCTCATACAAAACGTTAACGCATAGTCGAATATAAATGTATATTACTCTTTATTTCCTCTAAAATCAAATTCCTTAAAATGTTTGCGGTTGTTTTTTGAGAAAATATTATTTGAACATTTTCAATACTATGTGTATAATTTAAGCAAGGTTAAACGACACACAAGCTAAAGTCAGAGATCCAAATCGAAACAAATTCAAAGTATACCAAATTTTAAATTTTTATTGTTTTAATTTTAACTGTAGTTATTTCACCCAACATTGTCAACAAATCCGCCAAACTCACTGTCGCCATCTTCATCTTCGAGCTCATCCGCTGCCGCTACAAATAAGTTATTGTCGTCCTCAACAAATCCGCCAAACTCACTGTCGCGGTCACTCTCCTCCTCTCCCTCCTCTCATTATGGCCCAAACACTTCGAGCCAAATAAATAATAGTCTAACAAACATTCAACCACTAAATAGCATAATAACCACATATCCCAAATCCATAGAGCCCATTACAAAACAGCCCAAACACTGCTCTCTCAAAAACTAATCCCAATCCATCGAGCCCATTACAAATGCTAGTGTCTTTCCATAATGTAGGCAAATAGACGACGAGACTATGAAATCTTTGATTCGTTTTAGCAACTAGGTGAAAATAAAATGAGAAACAAACATATTTTCTAAGACCATCGAACCAATCTGAATCAAACTCAATAAGTTTACGAACAATTCTATTCATCGGTAGATCGATAGGGAGTTTTATTTCACTGGGATACCACGTACAAGTTAAACCTCAATTTCATTAAATCAAACTTCATTTTATATATGTAGAAAATATTATCCGGTGGTCAACGATTGTTATAGAATAATTAAAAATGAACACATCAAATTCATGCAAGAAAATGGCAAAGGGATCTCACTACCCTTAAGCGAACGTTGACAGCTTTTTGGCACATGCAACGATCCTCTTAATGAAATGATCTTTCCATTTTGAGTATTCATTAGTGTCCTATAGTTTTGGTGTCTTATCAAATTCAATGAAAAAAGTCTTATCTCTAAGATTTTTGTATATGACCATTTGTTGTACCATCACCAGGTGACTAAACACTCCATCGAAAATTAGGTACTACTTACTAGGAGCATATTTTCTTGAAAAATAGTTCAGGACTTGGCGCCTCATCTCTTAGAGCATTCCCGTTAATCGGAAGAAATTGCAATGATTAAAGTTAACGTGAATTTTTCATTTTGGATTGGCCTGCTAAACCCTAGCTAGCTTTTTCCTTTGTTGCCCTATAACAACCTCATTAATCTTGTTTCGTTTTATAGAATATTCGTTGATAAAGATGTGAATTATACTACATATGGTCCGTCAAAGTTACACACTTTGGCGGAGAAGTTGCAAGATAATGAGAGTTTACTTACCTTGATTTCTTCCTTAAACGTAGAAGTTATAACTACAACACTTTTGTCTACCTTACCGTTTTTTGAAGATTGTGTGGTTAAAGTAACCAAAACTGCATAACTTATTATGATCAAATAAAAATATGTCCTATTTTCTATTAGAAACCTAAATCAGTACTATATGCTACTCAGTACTATATGCTACTACAAAGTATAATTTACCACGCATATATCATATCAAACCGTTTTTAACTGAGGATGAAAAGTTGTTGAGCAAAAGAGTTCCGACCTACCGGATTCGAACCAGTGACCTACGGATTTTCTGCTACAACTACAGTCCTCCGCTCTACCAACTGAGCTAAGGTCGGTTTAATAGTAGTAAACTTTCTTAGTATAGATGACTAAAACAAAATAATTTGTTATGAATTATTGAACTATGTATATGAAGAGTGCTATAAGAAAGGTTAGCTAGTCACATGGATGGTAGTTTGATACCATCCAAAATAGATAACCACTTGAATGCATGAAAAACCATGGTAATAAAAATTTCCTTGAAATCAATCAGAACTTTTATAAAACATTTACTGAAAACGTGAACGGCAGGATTCGAACCTGCGCGGGCAAAGCCCACATGATTTCTAGTCATGCCCGATAACCACTCCGGCACGTAGAAAAGTGATTGAAACATGATCTTAAAAGAGATTAAGCAGGATGATAGTGTCTTTCCATAATGTAGGCAAATAGACGAGTCTATGAAATCTTTGATTCGTTTTAGCAACTAGGTGAAAATGAAATAAGACCAACAAACCATCGAAACCTCTCTGAATCAAACTCAATAAGTTTACGAACAATTCTATTCATCGGTAGATCGATAGGGAGTTTTATTTCACTGGGATACCACTTACAAGTTAAACCCCAATTTTACTAAATCAAACTTCATTTTATATATGTAGAAAATATTTTCCTGTGGTCAACGATTGTTATAGAATAATTAAAAATGAACACATCAAATTCATGCAAGAAAATGGCAAAGGGATCTCACTACCCTTAAGCGAACGTTGACAGCTTTTTGGCACATGCAACGATCCTCTTAATGAAATGATCTTTCCATTTTGAGTATTCATTAGTGTCCTATAGTTTTGGTGTCTTATCAAATTCAATGAAAAAAGTCTATCTCTAAGATTTTTGTATATGACCATTTGTTGTACCATCAACAGGTGACTAAACACTCCATCGAAAATCAAGTACTACTTACTAGGAGCATATTTTCTTGTAAGCCTCTCGGTATTTCGTTGGTAAACCATTTTCATGTATATTTTTCTTTCGGCATCTAACGAATGGAAAACATTTGAGAAACCAAAATTCCGACCTACCGGATTCGAACCAGTGACCTAAGGATATTCTGCTTCAACTACAGTCCTCCGCTCTACCAACTGAGCTAAGGTCGGATTTGTAACATACTATATGCGAGTGTACATACTCTAAAAATTGTACAAGCTAGCAACACTTTTCATTGTTTATACAAGTATAACTTTATTCTTCTGGCAAAAGAACACAAGTTTTATTCGGAAAAAAAAAAGTAGTTCAGGACTTGGCGCCTCATCTCTTAGAGCATTCCCGTTAATCGGAAGAAATTGCAATGATTAAAGTTAACGTGAATTTTTCATATTGGATTGGCCTGCTTAACCCTAGCTAGCTTTTTCCTTTGTTGCCCGATAACAACCTCTTTAATTAAATCTTGTTTCGTTTTATAGAATATTCATTGATAAAGATGTGAATTATACTATATATGGTCCGTCAAAGTTACACACTTTGGCGGAGAAAATGCAAGATAATGAGAGTTTACTTACCTTGATTTCTTCCTTAAACGTAGAAGTTATAACTACAACACTTTTGTCTACCTTACCGTTTTTTGAAGATTGTCTGGAAAGAAACCAAAACTGCATAACTTATTATGATCAAATAAAAATATGCCCTAATTTCTATTAGAAACCCAAGTCAGTACTATATGCTACTACAAAGTATAATTTACCTCGCATATATCATATCAAACCGTTTTTAACTGAGGATGAAAAGTTGTTGAGCAAAAGAGTTCCGACCTACCGGATTCGAACCAGTGACCTAAGGATTTTCTGCTACAACTACAGTCCTCCGCTCTACCAACTGAGCTAAGGTCGGTTTAATAGTATTAAACTTTCT